CATCTTTGAGGTTGTTCAAACTTGGAGTGGCTAGAGGGCCCACACTGCTGAACTTGCTGACCAACCGCTCAACGGATCACCCGCTACACCCCCAAGGCTCCTTCCCAGCCAAAAGTTCACGGCCAACGAGTCAATTCCAACTCATTGCCACTGTGGTAGTTACATCATCTGGTGTCAATCTGGGACTTGAGAGGATGCAGAGTGAAGGGGTGGAGTCTAGTCTGTCAATCGGGTCCTAGCCAATGAGGCCTCTGTGTGGGCCTGGCCAGCTCCTGAGAATTCTGGGAATTCTGGCATTTCCTCCTTGGAGGTGGGGGACACTCTCACTCTACTCATTCCCTTGGAGACTCTCTACCGACACGGCTGACTCCCTGAGAAACATCCTTGAGGAGACGCCACATAGACCCCCCTTGATGCGGCCCTGGGTGCAGGAGCAGCTACGTGGAGACCCCTGTGAGCGCTGAGATGCTCACAACGTCACTCTCTTCACAAGACTTCCCACCCGCTGGCCTGTGATCTTCCTGCATTCATGTCATTGCATGTGTTTCGTGAGTCAGAAGAGGGCTTTGTAGATTGGTATTAGACATAAGGGCTAATATTGGACGTAAGGACTTGATCTGGACTGGGCTGGGATGTTTTCTTAATGTACAATTACCATTTATATAACACTCCCTCTTATACACCTGAGTTTCTATGAATTTGTTTCTCTAGTCTACCCAGGCTAACACAGCGGCCCTAGTGAATAGAGTAGAGCTACCCCCTGTGGGTTTTGGAGACTAACTCTTTACGGGAGTAGAAAGACTCATCTTTCTCACACGGAGCAGCTGGTGGTTTTGAACTGCTGCCCTTGCCGTTGCAGCCCAACGGGTAGCCCACTGGGTTACCAGCCAAGAGGTAAATGCAAAGAGAAAAGGTTGCGTGTTACCACGATCATTCTATTTGGACTCTCTAGTTTAGACAGCAGAGCATAAGGCCTCTAAGAAATCTTGGGGCAAAAAGTCTGTGAGCGAGAAGTAAAATCCCTTCTAAAAACACAACAGCTTATTAATTTTATTCAGCTCCTATTTGGATGTGAACCATGCCCCAGAGGGAGGTTTCCTGAGCAGAGGCCAGCATGGATGGGGCATTTCCCCCCAAACGGGACTCAGGGGCTCACCCTGTGAGAAAGGAAATGGGGAGGACCCACCCAGCAGGCCTTCCTGGCAAAAAGGAGTAGAAGCCAGATTTAAAATCCATTTCAAGGGTGTTTTTTTGTTTTGTTTTTGTGTTGTTGTTATTTACAGCGAGGGAGGGGTGGTGGTGGTGGAAGGAGTGGCTTGGAGACCTATCTGTGGGCAGGAAAGTAGCACATGGGAATGGGACTCTGTCCCCAGGATGGCTGGTGTAACTCCACATAGAAGTCAGCATTCTCTTTGTTGCGTTGTTGTTGTTGTTGTTGTTGTTGTTGTTGTTGTTGCTGCTGTTGTTGTTTTAATGACCAAGATTTATTTGGCTTCAATTCACATTTGAAGTCAGGGGTGATTACCATGGCTAGGTTCTCTACTTTTACATGTGTGTAAATTAAAAGCCATGTTTCACTACTGGGCAGATTGCACAGATTAAAAAGAAAAGATGGGCAAAGATTAAAAAGATGTTTAAAATAGGCAAAACTAAACAATGCAATCCAACCACCGATGCCGAGACACACACACAGGAGACACTGAAAGAGAAAGAGCCTGCGATTTTCCACACCAAAGCTATGTCCCCTTTGCGCCTTTATAAAATCTGGTTCTGGAAAAGTCAGCGCCGCGGTGCTCAAGCGGAAAGTAGACTTTTGGGTTAATTTAGTCATTTTTCTGACCATGGCAACAAGAAGCTATTATACAGGCCTTCCGCTGCAAGCAAATTGGTTTGTAAAATGGATATAGCCTTCTCAACTCCTGAAGTGATTTGAGAGGGAAGTGAGCAGACAGTTCTGGCAGCGGGGGTGGGCGGGGGGAGAAACCCTGCTTCTTTTGGTTAAAGGCTGACATCAGCTTTAACCAGGAGGGGATGGTTGCCTTTTCCAGGGAAGTCTTCCGCACTTGGCATTTGCTCTTGAAGTTGAAAGAAAGAGCAATATAATAAACGTTGGGTAACAACCCCCCACATGCTTAGATTTATTGGCTAGTTAAATTTTTAATGGTTAAAGTTAAAAAACCTTTTATTTCAACGGCCGGGGGATTTGCACAGCTGGAACGTTGCTTTTTAATATATTCAAATTGGGGTGGAATAGCCCAAGTGACCAGGACATTGACTTGCTTCCTTGGATGGTCCCAAGCTGGCAGTGCGAAGGCCAAAGGCCCTGTCTGGCCCAGGCGCCTCCCTCCACACCCCACCCCAGCCGCCAGAGGAAGGAGGGAGGAGGCAGAGAAGAAAGGGGCACACTGCAGGGCCCAGTTAGGGTGGTTCCTTTTTACATTCACGTACTGGCTCTCGTTCTTCACCCACATCGCTGAGAAATCAGAGCCTCTCCACACTCTGGTTCTGCCACCGTGCCAGTGACCCCAATTGCTGGACCACCACTCTGCTAACTCTCCCTCTGCGAATTCCCTAGTTTGGTGGCCGGGGCAAAGGGTCTGTGTCAACGCCTTGATGGGGGTTGATAATGTGAACAAGGAAGATGGGGGGAGACAGAAGACCGTGGAGGTAAAATGGGGGTCCCGCATCGAAGAGAAGAGGTGGGAGTGATCCTGATTGTGGTGCAATGAATTTGTTTTTATGTTCCCCTTCTCAGCCTTAGTCTTGCAACTCCCATAGCATGATTAACTGCGATTAACTGAGATTCCGCCAAGTAAGTGACTTATGGTCTACCAAGGCGGGTCGGTCAGTTCATGGTCCTGGTGGGAGTGCCCCGTCTTGAAACCGACAAGCTACTTCCTTACATAAAAACAAATCCCACAGAGGTGGAGGGAGATCTCACCACCATTAAGAAGCAAGTGTCTGTGTATTAGTCTGGGTACTTTAGAGAAACAAATCCACAGAAACTCATGGATAAGAGAGAATTTTATATAAAGGTTAAATGCACATCAAGAAAACATCCCAACCCAGTGCTGCCCAAGCCCACAAGTCCAACATTAACCCGTATGTCCAGCACCAGTCCACAAAGTCCTCCTCCATCTGACAAAACACACACTATGATGCCGACTGCAGGAGGAAAGCTGAATCAGTGAATGTGTAAGCATCTCAGTGCTGGCAGGGGTCTCCCCACAGCTGCTCCAGCACCCAGGGCTGCATCGGGGTAGGTCCATGCGGCTTCTCCTTGGGGATGACTTGCAGGAAGTAAGCCTTGCCAGCTGAAGCAGGGAACTGGCTAAGGCATCTGCACCCTGGTCCGACCATCACAAAGCAAGAGACCGGAGAACTAGAAAGGCGAGGCTTACGGAGCCATTTATCCCGCCGCCCTTCAATTAACCCCACATGTGTTTATCGGCCAGGTTGGCACAATAAACTTTTAACTAATTCAGTGTGCAATCTCCACCCTGAGAGCCCTGGAGACCTAGAAGAGGGAGCTAGAACACTGAAGATGTCAGAAGCTGCAGCAGACACAGAAAGCCCAGCAGCAGAGAAATGCCAGCAGCAGGAACCAGGAGAGCATGGGGGGCACCTGCAGTGGGCGTGCCTGCCAAAGAGTGAGGGAGAGCTCGGTGCTTTGGGGCAGGAGGCTTGCTGACACAGTGGGATACCTCTGGGCACATGTCAGAGGTGCTACAAGAGAGCAAAGATACTGGTCAGTTCAGGCAGAGGCCTGAATGTGCCCTGTGCAGAGGTTGCCTCAGAAGATCCCATGAAGGGATCTTCCTACAGCAGGGCAGAGCTGAATGTTTCTGGGCAAGAGGCTGCCCAGGGCAGCATGGTGGGAGCCAACAGCTGAGGCTAGAGAGGACCAGGGCAGCCGAAGCCGTGGGCACCTTGCTGACCCGCCCTAGCACCTTGGTGACAGCCGGAGGGTAGCAGTTCAGCCGATGGCGTGCCTGTCCAACAACATACGCGTGGCCATGGGTAATTTGAGGAGGATAAACGTTTCCCTTTGGGGAATTGGTCATTATTGTTTACTGCTTCTATAAACACTAATGATAGCTTTCACTTTGTCAACACTGTCTAAGTGCTTCATGGGCCCCGCTCGAGCACAGATGAGCATATCACCCAGGGCAGAGTGGGTGCCACAGGGTGCACGTGCTCCTCCCTAGCCATCTGACCTCAGCCTGGAAGCTGAGGCCCCAGCTGCCTGTAAATACAATGCAGCAGGCACTCCACGTCCTTCACGTCCAGTCCCCCAGCCTTAGCCCTGGACTCTGACCTAGAGAAGGGTCAGCTCAGCCTCTGCTAGTGTCCTTGGCTGGCCTGAGGTTACAGGTCAAAACTGAGCCTCTGGTCCACAACAGCTACCTCCACATCCAGGCCAGAGGTCAGAGGCAGCAGGGTCTGGCTCATCCGTTTGAAAGAAACTTGAGCACTTGGTCTCTGAGCACTTGGTCTCGGGGAGAGGAGACTCTTGGTGGAGCACGCCAGCCCCGAGTGAATTTTCTAGCTCTGAAATACTAATATTTCTCAGATGGAGGCTCATGGACGTTCACAGGAGTTTCAATTTCAAGGCCATTTGGGGTTTTTGTTTTTTTTTTCTTTTTTTTTCTTTTATGGGGTTTGATGTTCTCTGCACAAACATTGGTTTAATAATTGACAGAGCCCAGGTCGCCCGCTTTGGCCCTCGTGGGCCTGTCCTGCGGGGCAGTGGAGTCAGGACAGTGTATTTCCCTGGCGCAGAGATCTTGACAACTGCAGGAAGTTGGGAAATAAAAGAAACTTTTCAAATAAAAAGATGTCAATTTAACAGCCAGGGACCTTGAAACAGATGTTCCCTGCATCGCCCGAGAGCCGCCCACTCGCCCGCCCGCCCATCCGTCCTCCGGGTTTTCAAAGTCACTTCTTGTCAGGTGCCCTGGTTAAGAGGGAGAATTAATGAGCTGTGCTCCCTTTTACAGCTGCCGTCTGATGTGGGAGCCGTGTGCGAGCGCCGTGGACAGGCCGGCTCGGCCCCAGCCCTTCCTCCAGCAGCTCCGCCCGGATCAAAGTGGAGAGCAGCTCGGCTTTTATAGCAGAATGATTAAAACCACGTGGGGCTGGTTTCCTCACACGTGACCCCCCCAAAAAAGTGCAACAAAGTGGGGGGCAGAGAGAAGGTGAACCAAGGGGTCTCTCAACCCAGGGAGGAGGGGAGGTCACGGAGGATATGCGCACACGTGCTGCTTACACACACTAACGCAAAGCCCACAGACATACGTGTACATGCCAAAATCATGTCTTTTCTCTGCAAGTTGGAACAAAAGCCCCAAAATCAAGCAGCCGGAGGCCCTGAGAGGGCAGGTTCTCACTCACTGCCAGGGAGTCGATGGCCACTCACAGTGGCCCTATAGGGCCGGGCAGACCTGCCTCTGTGAGTTTCTGAGACTGTCACTCTTTGCGGGAGTAGAAAGCCTCCTCTTTCTCCCTCAGAGCACCTGGTTTTGAAGAGCTGATCTTGTGGTTGGCAGCCCAGCCCCAAACCACCACCAAGCACACCTGCCACCAAGACCAAATGGTAGCACCCAACAAAGGTGTCTTTTTCTTTTCATCACAAATTCCTGATTACTTAATATCTCCTGGTCTTTGTAGATAACACAATCACATTGTAGTTACCAAATAAGGCCCAAATGCCCCCCCACCGCGCGCGCACGCACACACACACACACACACACATACACTGTATCTGGACAAACCATTCCTTACCCATATGTAGTCCTTTGTACCCCTTCTGCCCCTGAGAATCACAGCTCCCTTGGGGCAGCCTCTTCTCTCCAGTCGACCCGACATGGGCTCCCACCTCCTGCTAGTCACCTGGGGGGACTCCCTCCCCTTGAGCAAGAACTACAGTTAGTGAGTTGTTCCCAGCAAACAGAGGCAAAGGTGATGAGACGTCCTTTCGGAAAGGATGTTTCAGGGGGACGGCGGCTTCCTGCTCACTTGCTGTGAGGGAAGCCAGATGTCATGTTGTGAGCGGAGAAATCAACAAGCCCACACGAACAAGAACTGAGAGAGACCTCTTGCCAACCGCCCAAGAGGAGCTGAACTCTGCCAACAGCTACAAGACAGCTTAGAAGCAGACCCTCCCCCAGCCCAGCCTGGAGCTTGCTGTAGCCCCAGTGACACTCTGATTACAGCCTTTTGAGAAGGAAGTCACGCCCAGATTCCTGATCCCCAGAAACTGAGAGATAATAAATGTTTGTTGTTGTAAGCCACCAAGTTTCGGGGTAACTTGTTGGGCCGCAGTAGATAACCAATAGATCCCCTTAGCCCTACCTCCTCCACACCGACAAATCACTCATCTTGATACCTCTTCCCCACCTGAAAATCACAGCTCCTCCATCTTTTCACTTCCCCTGAAATAATTCTTGTGCCATTGATAGCCATACATGGAGAGGGTTTAATGGACAGCAATCTGAGGGTGGATCTGATCAGCCTCACCACTGCCTTTTCCCTTCTGAACTGCAGCCAGCCACCCTGGCCCCCTGGCTGTGTCAGCAACACGCCAGGTACGCACACACCTGAGGGCCTAGGCACTTCCCCAGGGTTTGCTGTCCCACCTCCTTCAGGTCTTTGTCAAGCATCGCCTTCCCAGCAAGACTTTCCCCGCACCTCTCTAATTTAAAAGGAAATCCGGCCACCCCCACTCCCAGTGCCCTCCGAGCCCTTTCCTGCTCAGTTATTTATGGACATAGCCAATGTCATCTAACATGCCACGTAAGTTAACAATTTTGTTTATTAGCTGCCTCCCCTACCCCCATCAGAGAGCAGGGATTTGAGCGTGTTTGCTTCAGTTTGGCTTTTGTTTGTCTCTCCGGTTCTCTGCCTAGAACCCTGCCTGGACAACAGATACTCATGGACTCAATTAATGAAGGGTGATGGAGGTCTCATTGTTTAAACACCTGTGGTAGACAGAGTCCCAAACCCAACCTCACTGCCATTGAGTCGATGCTGACTCATCGTGACCTTATAGGACAGGGTAGAACTGGCCTCCCTTTAGGGGAGTAGAACGCCCCCTTTCTCCAGAGGCTGGTGGTTTCGAACTGCTGATCTTGCAGATCACAGCCCAACCTGTAAGCCCCGAACTCCATTCCCAGTACGTTCGCTGCACTGCCCTCAGTGCTCAAAACAACCCTCCCAGGTGGCTAGCACTACCATCGGATCGGATTCGAGGTCCCAGGACAGCGGGGAGGGCTGGGTGGCGAGCCTTCTGCTCTTTTCTGCACCCTTTTCCTATTACATCAGAACTCTTCTTAGTTGACAATGAGCTTTCTGAGGCAGTGCCTTCTACTAGCCGTCATAGTAACCCTGTGAGCCAGGACTTAACATCCCGATCTCCATTCCACCGAGAAGGAAATCACAGCTCCAGGAGACGAAGGCATTTGCCCTGCTTGACAAAGCCAATAAACAGCAGAGCCAAGCTCCCTTCTGTTCAAAGGCATTCACAGAGCGGCTCCCAGATGGGGGCTCTGTGGCTAGCCAGTCCCTCCTTAAATCCTCTGGGTCCTCACCTGCCCCCAGGCCTGGAGGGCTGCACTTTGGCCACTGCCCTGTTCAGGATCAGTGTGGATGCTGGTGAATGTGGTGACTTGTGGTGGCCAGACATGGCCCGAGAGGGGCTGGTCTGCAGTGAGGCTGCCAAGGAGGGCTGAGATCCCGGTGAAGGGAACCAGAAGAGATGACGAAAAGAGAGTTTTAAAGATGGAGCCAGAAAATGCATTAGGCATACGGGGGTTGCCGTCTGAGAGCTCTCTTTACAATCCCCTGGTAGCCCCATTCTTCTCTCCCATCCTCCCTCAGCAGCCACATTAAGATGTTTAATGTGCATCTTTTTGCTTGTTTCTCTTCGTAGTGTCTGTTGTTCTCTTGTGCTAATCGCTGTTTCTTTTTTCATTTAGTCAAATGATATTATGCTGCATGAGTATTGCTCGTTTTGTTTTGTTTTTGTTTTTTACCCAGTGCAATGTTTCAAAGATACATTTATGTCACTGCCTGAACATCTGTTGGCTCTGTTGCATAGCTCGCCGTGGTATGTGGCTACTACATCTTACCCATGCGCCCCCACCCCCCAGGGGATGACACCCAGATGCACCCCCTTCCCACCACAATATGGCACTGTGCTCCCCTACACGGCTGCACCTAGGCCTGTTGGAGGGTGGGGGGTGGGGGACAAACAGTTCCATTGTACAAGCTTGTGCACATTCAAAGCACAAGCAGCATCCAAAGGTCCCTGCAGCCTGTAGTTGTATCCAGCGTCCTTATTTCTGCCAGACCCATGGTTATAAATGGATTGCTTTAATTTGCCTGTCTTTGATTAATACTGAGTCAGAACATCTCTTTGTTGGGTAATCCCCGATTTAGGATGTATTCAACTTACCAGGATCCACACTTAGGAAATTTGGGATTTTTCAGCAGCTGTTTTGTTTTGTTTTGTTTCCATTTTACGATCCGTACTATGCACTGCATACAATGTCACAGCGCTGAATTTGCTGATGTCCTCGTTCTCTGATGTTCCTTTGCATATGCTCAAAGATTAGATTCAGGAAGACATTGATATTAAAAGGTCAATAAAAATGCCAACTAAAAAAAAAGAGAGATTCGACTTAAGTTCGAGCCTGTTTATGAGTCATGGGGATGGAACCCAGTGATAATCTGGGCACTAAGGAGCCCTAGTCATGGAGTGGTCACAAGCTGGGCTGCTAACCACAAGGTCAGCAGCTCAAAACCACTAGCTGCCTTGCAGGAGACAGAGGAGGCTTCCCCTTCCCGTCGAGATTTCCAGTCTCAGAAACGCACGGGGGCAGTTTTACTCTGTCCTAAGGGTCACTGGGAGTTCGAAACAACCCGATGGCGTTGAGTATGATTTGGGTTTTGGACTCAGAAGGAAAGATAAGACCCACTTAGCCGATCAGAATTCCTAGAAAAAGGAGAAGGGTCAACAGGTCCCAAGCAAAATTCCTAGAGAGGGTCAACAGGTCCCAAGCAAAATACTGTATAAAAATGTCCACCGCAGCACTGTCCATCATCTACAAAACTTTGGAAACGATCCAAGTACTTGACAACATTACAAAGGAAAAACAGTTGTGGTATATTGATGTACTGAAATATTACACAGTCATGAAAATGGAAGGATCCCCACTTTACACAACAATAGAGATGAAGCTCACAAACATGCTTTGGAGAGGTTAGCCAGAGACAAAGGAGGCCGTGCTGCATTTACGGGGATGTACTTGCGGGAAGGGCAAGAGCCAGTGAGAGGACACGGCAGGGAAGTCAGTACAGTAATCACCTTCTCAGTGCCATCGGGTCGATGCTGACTTGCAGCGACTCCACAGGACAAGGTAGAACTGCCCTGCGGGTTTCTGAGACTGTAACTCTTTCCGAGGGTAGAAAGTTTTGTTTTCCTCATGGTTACCTTCAGGGCTATTAACTGGGTGGGGGTGGGCGCATTCTGGAGGGCAGCCAGCCTCTGCTCTGGACCAGGACGGTGCTTACCTGGGTGTACGCCCCTTGTGAAATCCCCTCCAGTTGCCTTCTTCTGGTTGGTGTGCTTTTCTGCATACACGTTATATTTC